CTGAGAAGCCACCAAAGTGAAAACGTGAGTGTTAGTTTTCTGTTTTGGTCATTTTTGTGACCTCTAGCAAATGCTACTTTTCGAAATCTTACTGTTGATTTCATTGTTAATATACAGGTGACTTTTAAGCTCGATTTACCTGTTCCTTTTTGCCTTAAATTCGTCCTAACTTGTGAGTTACTCTTCTTACTAAACGCAGATAATGGCCAACTCAACAAGCACAAAATCGTGAGTAAGAATAACAATTGAATCTGTCTGTAGATTTGTACGAAAATATTCAGCCATGGTGTACTTTGAACTCATTTCTTTGACCATTTCTTTTTATTTTCAGCGGGAAAACGGACATGTATGATTTGAGGAAGCCATCAGCGTACGGGGCGGGGGGGCTGGAGGGGCTGCAGCCCCCCCTTTCGGAAAAAAATTAGTATTATTCGGGCAAAACTGATGTACCGTTCGGGCAAAGACACAGTAAAAAATATTTATTACTTAATATCTTGATTTATTTGTTTTCGTCCCGCAACTCGCCTAATCTTCTAACTGATCTCTGTACTACTTCACGGGATGGCTGTTATTACTCGGAGTTAGAACAATGAGTTCTGCCGAGGGACTGGGAGTGATAATCAAGACCGCGCTGGGACTGGAACTGCGAGTTGACGGCCATGTTGATTTATGTCAGTTCTCGAGTGCATGTGCGTGTAATCTGGTGGATTGAAGTATGTCTTTGTCGAAGTCTTGTAAAAGATCATATCGATACCGTGTGAAATGTGAAGAATGCAAGAAAGAATTCGACTCCGACTATGTAGAAGCTCATTCCCGAATTGTTCACAGCGGCCGAAAAGTGAAATGTCTGCCAGTGGTAGAATCGTCACAGCTGAAATTAAGTGGTTTCTTCTCTAAAAGTAGTGCAGCAGTCGAATCTCCAGGTCAGACACAGAAGGCACCGCTTGTTGGATGTAGTCCAGAGAGTGAATAACGTACTATTTCATCAACATTCGAATCTGTTGCAAATATCCAGCCAGATCGTGAATCAATCGACCAAGATTCACTTAAGCCTGATGCGTCAATGAGAGACGTCCAGGAACCTCGCGAGCCCAGTACCCCGATAGATAAAGGCTTTCAATCAGATCTCGGAGGGATTGTCGAACTAGTGCCAGAGTCCTCCACATCACCTACGTTGACGACAATGGTACCGAAACAACCTGTTTTACCCGAATATCCGGGCACCAAGTTCAGCAGTGAGTCTTTCACTAGACGATTCTAGCCTGACTGGTGTAAAAAGAATCCGTGGCTTAGTCACGATGTCAAAAAAGACGTGTGTGTATGTTTAGCCTGCATAGAGTTTGGAAAGGATGCATCTTTTGTTTTCAAGAATTGGAAGAAGCCATCAAAGTTAACAAAACACAGCCAAAGTGAGAATCATGTAAGTTGCATGACTAGGTGGCTGCAGTTCAAAGCAATAGAAACAAAGAATAGCAGTGTTCTGCAGCAACTAAGCAATGCACATAAAGAGCAGGTCAAATTTAACAGGAAATATTTACAAGTGATAATCGAGTGCTTGATTTTCACTACTATGCAAAATATTGCTGTTAGAGGCCATGAAGAAAGTCGAAACGATATCTGGGAAGTTTCAGATATAAACAGAGGAAACTTTCTCGAATTACTTCATTTACGATGCAAAGACTTACCATGGCTGCAGTCAAAACTCCAGGCGCAGCTCCAGCTGCATGCTCAGTGGACATCACCCACCATCCAAAATGAGCTACTTGCAATAGTGTCAGACCTTGTGCTTGAGAGAATCACGACAGAAGTAAGGAAGAGTGGTTACTTTGGGATCATCATGGATGAAACTTCAGACGTCAGTAGAACCGAAGAGGTATCCTAGTGCCTCAGGTACGTTATCAATGGTGAGACAAAAGAAATTTCGTTGGTTTCTTTCCCACTGCTTCTACCGAGGGAGGAGTTCTGTACAAACTCGCAAAAATAGCCATAAATAGGCTGGATTTAAGGTTGGAAAACAGTATTGCCGAATGCTTTGATGGCACTGCGAACATGAGTGGGATTTGCAAGGGCCTTGCTACGCGTATGAAGGAATGTTCACCTCTCGGAATATATGTACATTGTTATGGTCATCTTTTAAATTTGGCTCTTCAGGATACCATGACTGAAATTGAAACTCTCCGTAATGCCCTCGGTACTGTCCAGAGTCTTTACAATTTCTTACACGGGAGTACCAAGTGCCATACGTTATTCAAGGACATTGAAGTTCATGAAGAGGATGTTGCGCTTACATTAAAATCTTTAAGTACCACTAGATGGTCCTGTCGCTGGGCGGCGGTCACTTTATCAAAGGATCGCGATCCCAAGACCCACAACGAAAGTAATTCGCTTCTCCACTCATTTTGTGACTTTGAGTTTGTTTATGGCTTAATATTTTTGAAGCTCATCTTATCAAACACTGATAATTTGAGTAGATATCTACAGGGAAAACAGATGGATGTCATCACTGCCAAGAAGACTGCTGATGCTGTCGTTAAGACACTGAGCAATTGTCGCAATGAAGAGAGCTTCACACAGATGTAGTCACATGCTGATGTTATAGCGCAAAAAATCAGAATAGGAATCGAGGGTACGAAATTTACCTTCAGAGATGCCAAGGTGCCTCAAACCAGACCATCACGCCGACGTCAGGGCCTTACTGACGAGACACCTGCTGCAGCGAATGACAGCTCACAACAGACAGCTCACAACAGACGGCAAAAGACCGTAAAAGTAAAATTTGTATGTTTCATGGACAACCAAACAATCACACCGGAATTTCAAATTAGCCTGTTTCTGTTCTCTGTTGCATGTGCAGCTATCAATCATAAATAAACAAAACAGACAATCTTTTTTTTGTCTAAATGTTACCTAGAACAGTGATGGAATAGACGAAGCAGCATGACAAGGCTCTTCTGGATGAAATGACAATCAGCGATCTTTTTCAGTACAAGATGGGCACTCCAGAAAGGGGTCAATTATGGGATTCTATATCTGGTAATTTAAATGCAATGGATTACCCAAAGTTTAAAGATGCAAAACGGTCATGTCGCGATCGTTGGACACTGTTATGCACAAAGTAGGATGTCAGAAGAAATCCAAGCAACTGGAATAGATGCTGAGGTTGGCTACTTGATGAGATCATTGAATATCTTATTGGAAAAGAAGATCATGCTATTGACAGTGATAAAGAAGAAAGCTGAAGCTGATAAAAAGGCAGCAGAAGAAACACGGATTAAGGCTATGGAACGGTTTGGAAACACCAGAAAAAGAGGTGGAAAGGATGGAGAGGAAGGAGCCAAAAAGAAAAAAAAGGAGAATTGACAGTGATGCAGTAGAATTTCTCAGAGAAAAAGCAAAGTTAGAACATTCTCTGAGAGAGGAAGAGCTACAGTTAAGGAAAGATCAACAAAGCCAAACACTGTTGATATTACAGCAACAACAGCAGATGAATCAAGCATTGCTCACCCTCATGGAAAAAATGTTGCCTAAAGAGAGGAATTAACTGTTAATTCCTGTAACTCAATTTGTTGTTGTCAGCCAATGGTGTCTTTTTGAATGGCACTTTGCAGAGAGAGATTTAATTTATGTTCATTAACTTTCATAGGAAAATGGCATTTATGAAAGAAATGTTTACATTTTCATGTTATAATCATTTAAGTTCACTTATTATGATGAATGCGTATTGGAAACTTTGGTGGCTTCTCAGTCATGCAGAACTTACTACCCATCATGCCTGTGTAGCACATAGGGCAGCAACGAAATCCTTCCAACCCTGTCTATCTTTAGCCAGTTTTTCAATGGTGCTCCAGCTGTAATTGAGCCCCCTTGGTCTCTTCTCTACTGTCCTGTGCCAAGTTGTTTTCGGGCGCCCTCTGCTTCGTTTGCCTTCAGGTGTCCAGTGCATTGCAATTCTGGCTATGTTGTTACTGGCCTTCCGCATCCACATGACTGATCCACCTCCATCTTCTCCTGTTGACAAGTGTACGAATACCCTCCTGCTTAGTTTGCCTCAGTAGCTGGTCGTTTGATATTTTCAGAGGCCAGAAGATTCTCATAATCTTCTTGAGGCTAGCTGTGTGGAAGGATGCTAGTTTTGAGAGGTTCTTTTCTGTCATTCACCAGCATTCCGAGCCGTAAAGGAGAGTTGACAATACGCAGCTCTGATAGATTCTAAGCTTCGTCTTTGTGCTGTAACTTGCTGACCTCCACACTGATCTTAAGCTCATAAAGGCATTTCTTGCTTCGTTCAGTCTGCTTTGTATATCTACACTAGTACCCCCATCTTGGCAAAGCACACTTCCGAGGTATGTGAACTTGTTGGTGTATGAAATGTCCTGTCCTCTTATCCTGATCTTTGTTGGGGAAGACATTAACACACATGGCCTCCGTCTTCTTTAAGCTAATTCTCAAGCCGACCTGGTTGCTGAACATGCTGAGCCGGTCTGTCTTTTCCTGAATGTGCTGTCGTGTGTGGGACAATAGGGCTAAATCATCTGCGAAGTCGAGGTCTTCGAGTATAGTAAAAGGGGTCCATCTTATGCCTCTTCGCTGATCTTCCATTTTTCGACAAAGGACCCAGTCGATAGCAATATTGAATAGCATGGACGACATGACACATCCCTGCCGTACACCGGTTTTAACTTCAAAATTTAGATCTCCCTGACCGATGCAACATGTGAAATTTGAATCGAAGCATTTGATGATATTAATAATGCGTTGTGGAATGCCATATGCTCTCAGAATCTGCCAAAGACTGGGACTGTTGCCTTGTCGTAGCTGAGTGACTTGTGCGTCCCAGCGACTCCGAGAGCTATGCCGACGGGGGTGTTTACACCCCTGGTAGGGCCTCCCAAGCCGGAAAGGTTAAGGAGCAGGGTCCAGACTAAAGACAGTCCCACGGCCCTCCAGGCATGGGGGTTAGGCTTAAGGCTAACAACCTTATCCTGTAAAAAGAATTTGTTATGGAAACAGCAGCAAAGACAACCAATATCCTGTACGCAGACCTTCCAAGGTCTTTGAAACGTAGTCATGCAGAAGCTGGTACGAAAAAAAGACAAATTAGGCTTAAACATTTTGTCGTTAGTTTATCGGTGAAAATTTTTCGACTGTACATGTTGAATATATGTTTATAACAAGTGTCTGAAATTTGTGCCTGATAAACTCTGCTAAACCCAACAACCCTTGACCATGATAGGTTTATATGCATTTTTTTTAATCAGCTGATTGGGAGAGGCTGCTCCTCAAATTTCGTAAGGTAACGTTTAAGTTATTGCATATCATAACTGTTTCGAATTATAAATATTCATAAGAAGATAAAGTTCTCTTTTCTTCAACACATCAGCAAAATAGTCTTGCAGAGTGGGAGGCTCAAGGTAAAAAAATGTTGCAGTATTATTGCCATACAAGCAACTCAAAGCATATTGGAGAAGTGCACAAACAAACAATGTACATCTTTCCAATGCTGCTCATTCCTATCTTGAGATTCTTTTTGAAATCCACGAACTTGAAATATTTTATGATATCTCCAAATAACCACTCTACAGACACCCTTACTGAACTCATTGAACTGTTGTATGCTTCCATCAAGGTGAGTAAGGTGGGGGTTTCGGAATGGCCCCTGAAAAAAGACTCTTAGGGGGTAAGCAGGGTCGCCCTGTTGCTTAGTAGGCATAGGCTTCCAGGTCGTTAAGTAGCCCAGAATCATGCAACATCCCTGCATCATGCCTCCTACCCTCTGACGTAAAGAAAAAAAGCTAAGTAATAAACTTAAGGTACTTACTGTATTGATCAACCTCTAGCTTCCTAGTTTTAATATGCAGCAACAGAAGTGATATTAGTGATCTTTTGGTCTTACATTTGCTTTTTATATACTGCCGTATATAGGCAAATGACTTTTCATTAAATTTCAGCCATGCCCTTTAAAAAAAACTGCATCAGGTTATTCAAATCAATGCTGCCCCTATTTTTGCAGACAGTGTTAAAGTAATATTGTTAAATGGCACTTACCCACAGGGCCAAACATATTGGCAATGAGCCCATTAGGTAGAGCAACCGACTGAAACTTGAGAGCATGTACTCTCTTGTGCCCATGGTAAACGATTCTCTGCATATCTCCTGGTTTGGAGATCGGTCGTACGGTACCATCAAAGAAGCCAAAAACAGTTGTCTAGAGCTTCTCCTTTTTCTGTGATGACAGTGGCATATTGTTCAATTAATCCGGGATTCAGTATAGTGTCATTCCACTGAGTGATTCGGTGGCCATGTGCATCATAGATAAAATCCATGACTCGGTTCGTGATCATGCACAGCTCAGGAACAGGTCTTCCAAAACGTGTGATCACATCGCTGTAACGACAAGGATAAGCTAGCCGTTTCAGTAGCATGCACAGTCCTTCCATTCCATCGCATATAGTCCTCTGTGGGCATTTGAAAGCGGGTGGAATCCCGAGTACTTCTCTTAGTGTTGGAAGATCTCTCTTCTCTACAAGAAACTCTGCTTTACATTCGGCTTCATCTATGTTTTCGAGGTCGAACGGACCATAACTGTCCCAAGGAAAATCTGGGTTGCTTGACTGATTGTTACTGGGATACCTGTGGTAGCCCAGTCATAAAATGCCTTTGTTTCTTTGTCGTCTTTTTTTTTTTTCCTCCGCCACAAAATGGAAAAATTGCACAATAGTACCCAGAGGTCATTGGGCCCTCAACGCCATGACAACTAACTGTGATCCAATGAGGTGTTCACATGCTGATCACGCGTGTTATCTTGATGATGATTGACGTTGTCATGCACAGACAGGGCCGGGTCACGTGACGAATCACGAGATTTTGCTTATAAAACTCTTTGGTCAGTTGTTTTGTATTTCAACGTATTTGGATTGCGATCTACTGGAGCATTATGGCGCAAACGCGCAAAATACTTACAGACGCACATACAAGTCGTATTAATCGCGGCTAATCCACACTGAAAGATGTTATTGAGCGGTAATTTTGGAACGGATTGAGTCGCGAACGCTTGAAAGCCATGAAAGCCTTGAATGCCTTGTATGCTAAGTATGCCAATGTCTTAGTTGAAAAACGTTCACTTGTTGTAAAAAGCAAAATCTGAAATCTGAAACCAAACTGCATATACTCTATGCAATCTATTGCACAACAGTACTACCGTGAGACTGAAGAACATAACTATAATGGACGCAAACTGCTTGTGAAGAAAGACGACATGTTGGATTCACTTGATGGCAAGAATGTAGCTACGATAATAGTACGAATGGTATTAATTTCACGATCAGAAAAGTGAATCTTATGTTTGTTTTCATTGTAGTTGTATGGATATTCTTTTTTAATAAATACGTGATCCAAAACCCTGTGTTTTTTTGTGTATAATGTTATTATGTTAAATATTTTTTACGCAATTGTCTTGTCACAGGTAGCCCAAGCTCACGTCTCGAGAAAAAGCCAACGATTAATTCATGAACGCGTCACGCGTTGTGTGACTCGGTGTTAAGTTACGAGAGGAACATATTTCGAAATATGAACATTTTTCTCGTAAAATCAATAAAACTTACTCATACCCTGTGTACCCGTCGTATTTTCTGGCGATTTCTGCCGTTTTAAGCTTGCTTTACCATCACTGTTATTCACGTCATCTACTTTTATTACGTTGGTAAAATCTGTACAGACATCACATCAACCAACTCGCGCGCAAAGTAAGAAGACTATATTGAAGGCTTGAAATAATATTGCGATCGATTTTCATCAAGAAATGGGCCAGGAATATTCCACAATAATGCAAATAATCGTGAAGGCGGATCGCAGAAAAGCGATTGCATGACGCTCGGTAAGCTGTAAGATGACATGTTATTATATACCAGACGTAAAAACTCTTCAGATTCTTAGTCTGCATTTTGTACCCACTCTGCAGTCTGCAGTCTATATTTTGTATCCGGTCTGCAGTCTGCTGTCTGCATTTTGTAGTAACAGGTAACCGTGGCACCAATATAGTTTATTTTTGGTTACATTTATTCGCAAAACACACATTATCTACCACAAAATACCTGTGAGTGAGGTAATTCGACATTTTCATTCTTTCCCACATTAATATTCTTCTCTCCTAGACATCACTCACAATTTTTCAAGTAATCCACCCACCCTACAAAAAAGTAACTCTTGCATGCATTGCATGCCTATGTTTTGAAATAGGTGTATGCCCTTGGCCAGACTTGAGCGCACTATTTCAGTATACTAGTCCGACACCCATAGTATCACTACACTTGATTCCAAGGATCCAGTACCATCCAGGTTTCCCAGTTACCCTGCTCACAGGGTCTAGTTTTCCCATAAAACGAGAAATTCATCGTCGGAAAGTAAATTTTCAGCATAACACAGCAGTGTTAATTCTCTTGTTCCTTTAAAAGAAGTAATTTTTTCCTTTGAATTTGGCGGGAGGCGACGGCTACATCGGTCCCAGCTTCCCTCTGCCACTCCAGTCGCCGTCACCCCGAAAACTTCCATTGCTTAAGTTCCCTAGTCACAGCCGTCTAATTGCACGATCACAGCTCGGACGCTTCTCGCAAAATGTGATGACTACCAATTTCAGAGATTAATTCTTCAGTTTCCAGCATAAGGAAAAAATATCGTATCGCAAGCATTTTCATCATAACGCCTCGAGATGTTGAGCGAAGAGAGAGTGCTCCATGTTTTGTGAGACAAACCATTTCCTGAAGTTCGAACGAATCGAGTAGAAAGCTTGAAAAGTACGACAACCAAACAATTAAATTCACTCATCCCGCTGTAGCACCAACTTCATTTAACCCGTGAATTTGTTTGCACAACACATTTGCGGTCCGTAATTTGATTCTCAGATGTTTGACGGGTTCTCACATGACAATATCGTCGAAATCAAATTACCGCGTCTGACATAATGTAAACTTGAACATCGCTGACTCAATCTCATTATATTTCAATTTTGGGAAAGATAAGGGTAAAACAACACATCATCGGCAAAGCGCGAATTTTTTTTAGAGTAAATCTTGTGATAATTAACTGAAGAGAAAAAAATAGAAACTTGCGCTCGCCGTTCGCCATCATTCGAAAACTTTCTATGCAAAACAAAATACGTAAGATAACTTCTTTTCCCATAGCACCACGACTGATGAAACTTTCAAACGAAAAAAAAAGAAATGACTTGAAGAATACGAAGACTATGAAATATTATTCGAGCGATGAACCGGCGTGAGGCTTTTTAGGCGATGAATGCCAGAGTCAATGTTTAACCGAAACGTGATCAGTGGAATTAAAAACTAAAGCTAGTATCAAACGACGATTGATAAAAAAAAGTTTGATTTTTTTCTGGGTCTTAGCGTAAGAGAAAACCCAGATAGGACACGACTTACCTCCTCTTCTTTCGCGAATCCTTTGTAGTTCGCTTCTCTTTGTTGATGACCTCTTTTCAGTTGTTTTCAGAAGCGACTTTGTATTTCCTTCTCGCTTTGCTCTTTGCTAGATACCTGCCTTTTACTTATGCCCTTTATTGTTCTCTTTCGCGCTCTTCTCGCCGTATTCTGCCTATTTTGGCGTCCTTTCTAACTTTCTTGCGCGATTTTCTGTATTCGCTTTACGCCGTTGACTCGTTGCTTTCTTTGGTCGCTCTGTCTCTTTATATCCAGCCTATTTTCACTCAAAACTCTCTCTCCACGAACTTGAATTATAACAGTTTCCTTCGGTTGACAAAGTTTAAACTCTGCCGCTATTGTTGCCTTACGAGTTGTTTAGAAATTGCAAGGTACTGAGAATTACTGTTCAACTACATCCTGACCAGTTTGATTTCCCGCTCAAAAACACGGGTAGCAAATTATTTGCTCACGCTGCTTCACATCTACAAGCCCACGTGAAGCCCTCGTGCAATGCCTAACCGTGTGTCCGCAGTACGCTACAGCAGCTCGACGCTCGAGTATGCGCATTTTATCGTCATCTGACGGTGTCTGCTGACGCATACTAATGTCCAAGTTAAACTCGCAATCGCGCCTGCGCATTAGCTTCTCCCTTACCCTTCCATTATGTAATGGCTAAGATAGTGCCCGTGGTACAGTTGGCTTCGCATGCTAAAAGTAACACCTTGTACGGTCGGTCATACGGTCGTACAGTCGTACAACCAAATTTTTTCGGCTTGATGGATTACTACTTTTTCGTATAATTACGGGGCTACGCTGCACGTGCTTCGCGCGCTACGAGCTCCCCTATAAGTTGTCAACTGCCTAAACAATATTGCATTGTTACCTTGGGAGATTTTAATGCTCATTGCGACTCTACAAATCTATCAGGGAATGGCGATGTAGATGAAAAATTATTTAGTTTCTTAGAAAAAAACAGCTTGGTACAGCTGACCATTCTGTTATGTTCGTAAATAAGAATATCGTCACTTAACAAAGTTGATCTTACAAAAGGCAGGTGTGGAATTTTACTAATGTCAACCCTACAAATATGGATGGAGAACTATCTGAATTAGACTGGATCTCTTTTTATGAAAATACTAGAAAAATAGAGGAGACATATTCATGGTGGTATTTTTGTTTGATTATTCAGAGGGTCATTCGACTGAAAACAGTAAAAATACTTGCTAGGGATAAACCATTGAACTCATTTATCAATAAGTCTTTTTCACTTGGTCAGTACCCTAGTGAGTGTAAGATTGCAAATATTATTCCTATATTTAAAAGTGATAACCGTCAATTCAAAACGAGTCACCGTCCTGTTTCTCTTGTGGCAAGTTTATCTAAAATCTGTGAAGAAGTTTTTTTCTTTCACTTATACAATTTTTTGTTGGGGATTTTTTTCTTTTTAAATAAACTCCAGTCTGGTTTCAGGCCTGGTGACTCAGCATTTATAACCAGCTGATTTTCTTTGAACACAAGATCTATGAAGCCCACTAGAATGGTAGAGAGCCCCGTGCTGTTTTCCTAGATTTAAGCCGACATTTGATAAGGTGTGGAACGCTGGTTTGTTGCATTAATTAGAAGCTCTGGGAAGGCAACTACCCTTACATTGATGGTTTGAAGTTATTTGCTTAACTCAAAGCTGAAGGGCAATCCTCTGATTGGCGAACAGTGAATTCTAGAGTCCCCTTAGGGATCCTTGTTAGGACAGCTTCTATTTCTTATTTACATCAATGATATTGCTGATGATATCACCTCTCTTCCTTTGATTTATGCTGATGATATAACACTGTTTTAAATTGTGGACCAGCCAGACATATAAGCTGGTCGCCTCAATTCTGATTTAAGTAGGATATCAAAGTGGGCTTACAAATGGTTCGTAAATATGAATTCTGTTAAATCTTGTAATGTTGTATTTTCTCTAAAGCGTAATAAACAAGATCACTCCCCTCTATTTCTTGACCTAAAGGTTGTTAAAGACACGAGTCTCAAACTCACTTACGCTTAACTTCGCAGAGTAGCATCGAGATAGTCTATCGTTATAGGATCTATACAGATATTGGATATATACAGATAGACACAACTGGTTAAATTGCCAAAAAACTAGCTAAGACGGTTAAAACTGCACAATCAATGCACAAGTTAGGTGAATTAGTTCACCAGTTAATATATTTTTTTAAACTTTTTTTGAAGTTCGTTCAAATAAATTACGGCATGGGGTTTTCTAGTATATACGAACCGCCAATCAGAAGAAATTTCTTGTTTCACACTTTACTTTGTAATTATCTTAGTTAATAGATAGTAGAAGCCACTCGAAAATATTTGATGTGACCACAGGAGTAAAGGTTGGAGTAAAATATGCAAATTTCCTATACACTCATATTTTGTATGTTATTCTTTATCACAGGTAGCACGAGAGAACTTGTTCAGGCCAGCTTCGGCTATCGTCAATGAGGTGCTTCTGGAGGAGCGGGTATATGAACATCCATGCCCGTCACTGCCCAAACCTGAAAACATGGCCAGAGCCGCGAACCGCTTAAGACAGCAGCTGAGACCCGAAGACCCCACCGACTTGGCGTTTGACATCTCCGAAGAGAATATTCCTGCCGGGTTCATGAAGGGAGACGTCCGTAGCCGCAGCAAGCGACACTTTCTCTTCGCAACAAACCAGCAACTGCAGCAGCTTGTCCTGGCCAAAAACTGGTACGTTGATGGCACATTTAAACTCTGTCGTCAGCCCTTCACCAAACTGTTTACCATCAACGCCTTTGTGAGGAGCGGCGAGCAAGCCAAACAGGTTCCTCTGCTGTTTGTCCTCATGTCTGGTAAGAGAAAGCGGGACTACCGTACAGTGTTGCAAGAAGTGCTGAGAATACTTCCTTCGCCTCCAGCAGTCACAAGCATCACTCTGGACTTTGAACAAGCTCTCTGGAAAGTCTTAAGAGAGCTGCTGCCCAACGTGTCACTGCAGGGATGTCTGTTTCACTGGACGCAAGCGTTGTGGAGAAAGGTAACGCATACCTAAAGAAAGAATTCATATAGGCACACACGTTAAAAAATATTAATTTTTTAACAGCATATCTCTAAAAATCTATTTTCATTATTTCAATAATTTCAATTAAACCCATACCTACCTACCGTCCTTCTCTAAGGGCTCTTCTCTGAATAATATCAATCAAGCTTAACGCATACCTATACTAATAGAAGTAGAAACACACGTAGTTAAAAATAAGTGCTTAACTGCTTATCTCTGAAAATTTGTTTTCCTTTTTTTCAATAAGGTTCAAGAGTTGGGATTGGAGCCAGCCTACCGCGCAGACAGCCGTACCTACAAGTACATTAGAAAACTCATGGCGCTGCCCTTCCTGCCGGAAGCCAAGATTACACCGATGTTTAAGCGGCTCAGAGACCGCGCCACTACCACTGCTCTGGAAGCACTTGCCTTGTACGTGGAGGAGAACTGGATTACCAGCACAATGTGGTCTCAATCCTGTTGGTCTGTCTTCATGCTGCCGATCCGCACCAACAACGACATAGAGGCGTGGCACCACGGTCTTAACAGTAGAGCCAACAACAGAGTCCACTTGCCATTCTACCTGCTGGTGGAGCTGCTACACCAGGAGGCCAGACTTGTCTCCATTCAGATAAGGCTAGTGTCAGACGGGAAGCTGTCCAGGATTCAGCGGAAGAAGTACCAGCTGCTTCAATCTAAAATCTTCAAGCACTGGGAAGACTTTAACGGCAACGAGATTTCTGCCCGCCGCCTTCTCAAACTCTGCAGTTACCTGAACGGCCCGGCGACCAGAACCTGAAGCAGAACCTGGAACATCAAAAAATGGCTCTTTTAGGAGCCACCGCGCCCTGGTTGCGTCTTTAGGACGTTTCCAGGTCGCTAAAAATGGCTCTTTTAGGAGCCGCCACATCTGCAAAAGTCATGATCAACATATGAGCTGCTCTTCTAGATTTAATATTCAATAAAGTTTGTTGTTATTTTGCTGCGGGGAAACTGGGTAATATAATTCGACCGAATATTGAATAAGTTCCCTTGACAACATCACAGACGTCGAAATTTGCATACAGATAAGTAAACAAACTCGTGAGTCGATTCGTTCGAACTTATAACATCACAGACGTCGAAATTTTCATACAAATAAGCAAACAAACTCAGGAATCGATTGGTTCGAACTGTTAACTCTCCTTGGGAAACAACTGTAGTTGCCTTTGGAAAGCTTCAGTCCATCGACGCTTACAATTTCTCGCATCGACTTGACAATTTCTCGCATCTAGTTTTAATATAACTGCTATCGAGTTTCATTTCATCACTTATTTCTTCCCATGAAGTTTCATTTTCTCTCAAGTAAGTTTTTATTCCTCGCATCGAGTTTTGCAATTTCTCTTCGCTTACGTGCAAAAGACAAACACGATACGTTTCGATGTCAATGAGTTAGGAACGGAACACATCTAACACGTCGCTGAAGGTCATAATTTAAATACAGACAAGCGCACAAACGTATCGGCTGATTTGAATTGTGCTCGTTCGAACATACTACTCTCCTCGACTACTTTATTCTAGTTTATCTCTTTATTGGTGGTTGGTGGCGAGAAGACTTCGCTTGGTGGCAAGTATGTTGGTGGCGAGATCGTTCCTTGGTGGCGAGTTCGCTGGTGGCGAGTCTCCCTGGTGGAGAGGTAACCGGTAACCCTTGACCATTCATGAAAAAAAGACCAGCCTAGTGAACTGACTTCAACAAATGCCATTTAACATTTTTAACGGGTAACCAGTTTAGCTTTATGATATCCTCCCTTTCAACAAATTTGCCAACAACAAAGTTCGCACATGCTTTTGAATTCTTTGTAGGCGTTTAAGAAAGTAACGTGGTACATTATGAGGAACAACACAATTACAATACAAATTGGAAACTACGAGGGCCTAAACTAACTGCTTAAAAATATTAAATACAAGAAAATTCCTCAATTTCCTTAAGATTCTAAGAAAGCGATAGCAAGAGGCTGAAACTTGCTTAATATTTTCTTCTGATTGAAGGTAGTGGTCAATGTAGGTCCCATAAAGTTCTGCCAGTAATACACCTTCTAAAGATGTAGTACCGGCTCTTAGGTCAATGTCAGTGTTTTTAAAGTTCGTGATGAGAAGAGAATCTACCAGAAGATAGTAGCATGTACTTCGTTTTGCTAAGACTTAGGACCATATTAGCTCCGTTCGCTCAGCATTGCAGTTTATGCATATTACCTTGCACTAAGGCCATGCAAGATGTACGTTTACCAGGCTTTGATGCTTGATATACATTATTGTATCATCAGCATACTGACGGCAAGTACAATTAAGTTTCCCTTGCAGATCAACAATATATTGGTTAAAACTGAGGGGACCCATAATCAAGCCTTGTGGGACGCCAAGGCTAATACTAACAGATTTTGAAATAAGGTCATCATTTTGAAGAAACTGCTCCCTTCTACAGACGTAGTTGACTGTCCATTAAAGGTATGACCTTCAGAATCCAAGAGCTTTCATTTTCTCAAGAACAGACCTATACTATAAAGTGTCAAAAGCCTTCGAGAAGTCAGCTATGACAAGCAGAGTGCATTCGCTCTGGTTCATAACCTTCAATATGTCATCACGTATACTTAATAAACAAATGTTGTGGAGTGGCCTTTCCTAAATTCAGAAATGGTATCCTCTAAGAGATGGTGATCTTTTAAAAACTTAGCAACTTGGTTGTGTATAATCCTCTTATGGGTTTTAGACAAAACAGGCAATACAGAGATTGGTCGAAGATCATTGTTATCTAAAGAACTATCCGACTTAGGGATTTGAGTTATGCGAGCTTTGTTTCCATTTATCTTGAAAGTCGCTTAATTTTAATGAATGAATCGATTACGTTAATCAAAGAGCTCTCAATAGGCTTTTAAATTTTGATGGAATTAGATCAGGGCCAGTTGATGTTGAAGTGTCAGATCGTAGGAGCTTTGTAACGATAGGATTTTTAGTTATCGAGTTCTTTCATGCTTACGCTCAAAAAAATACAATATTCCACGTAGAAAGCTTAGATCAGCAAAGTGTAAACGCCACCAGTTCTCCTTCAGTCACCTGTAAACAGTTGTTGTTAGTGTTAAACTGTAACAGCCACCTGTCATGTCCTTTTGTGTAACTGTTATCCACCGGAACTCTTTAAAAGTAATTAATGTTGTAAAAGGCGAAATTCCTACTTAGCCAATAGTGTAGTAGATTACATGATCCTTTAGATTATTCATGACATTACGTTATCCATGTACGTTAGGCTTAAATAGGACTGTTCTGTAAAGCTTAACAGTTAGGTGAGAGAAGAAAGGAAAAGAGAAGAAGAGAAGAGCGGGGTCGAACCAGCCCTGGCCAGGTCCGTTCTGGTCAAAATTGTAGTAGAGCTTGAAGAATAAAGCTACGTTGGAGCCAACCCTGTTGTCGTTAGTCTTTCTCTCAAGGATAGTCAGCAACCGTAATAGTCAGTAATTAAAGAAACTCACAGATAGCCAATCAAATGCGAACCTTGGATGTTGCAACGTTTGGATACACTGAAAATTTGTGAGCGAAACAATGTTGGGTATTTTAGGCAGGTTTTCTTCTGCCACCGCTACAACAATACAGCAGCTGAAATCAGCTCTAACAATGAAAATACTGTATACAAAAATAGGGAAGATTATGAACCGGGAAATCTGAAAGTAACCATAACATCAATTAAAAGACACAGGAGAGAACAAAGGCTATAGACTATCCATTATACGAGACAAAGAATTTAGTTCCTCCAAACAAGTACTGGACGGGAAAGCAAGACAGCTTCGCTTAGCTGGCCGCGGCAAGCGGCTAAACAAAGCTCGACAACTATCGGAAAAGGAAAAAGAAATTATCTAGAAGAGCGAGAAACTCCGTGGTAAAGCCCCAGAGTCCTTATTCATACAATGTGGTACTTACCCAACAATTTGGTCTCCATGGAAGACAGGAACACTATGAAATGGGACTGGAGGATTTCAGAATCATTTTATCTTATTGTTTTGATCGTTTGCAGTTGTTTTGACCAAACGCATAATGTCACTTGCAAGGTTGGAATAAAATTATTTTTCCACATGATGCACGCACTTTTCCGCTGCATTATTATGGACAAGCTACCTCGTATATTTTCACGTATATTATTAATACTTAATCACATAATCTTTTTTCATGCAATTTGGAATAAATAAGCATTTCGAGTGCAATTTGCACTCAAAATCATGTGATTACTAATACTAAGCCCCTCAAGTAATGTAAACGAGTTCAACTCCAAAACTCAACCCAAAATTTGTTCAACTCACTAAAATGGTCAAATTACGTAAAACGATTGAAGTAGATAAAATGCACAAACTAGCTAAATTGGTTCAGCTGATTAAAACGGTCAAAACTCTAAAACGATTCAACTGGACAAATGCACAAACTAGCTGAATTGGTTCAACTGGTTAAAATGCTTAAAATAGCTAAAATGGTTTCCTTGAACAAAATGTATAAACTAACTGAATTGGTTCAGTTAGTTAAAGAGATCAAAATGGCTAAAACAGTTCGTTAGGAAAAAATGCACAAACTAGCTGGATGAGCTTAAACGGTTCAACTGGACGAAAAGACAAATACAGCTCCATTGTCGCAACTGGTTCAAGACCACAAAATGGCGAAAATGGTTCATTTGGACACAATACTCTAACTAACCAAATTGGTACAGCTGGTTAAAATGGTCAAATTAACTAAACGAGTTATCTGGACAATATGCACAAACTGGCCAAATTAAATCAACTTGTTTAGATGGTCAATTTAAGTTAAAGAGCTCGACTCAAAAACATGCACTGACAAACTGTATTATTCGGAATTGTTAAAAGGGAAAAATTTCGTAATACGCGTCACATGCAATTTAAATAGAATCAATCATAGCGATGCCGTAGTAATGTCCGGCCATTCATCGATGAGCAAAATGCAAAGACGTTGGAGGACGCTGGAAGATTAGCAGATGAGTTTTTGTTGAGTCAAAAGCTTAATTTCGTGGAAAGGCCCCGTCACACCTCCATGCAGTAGAGTGCCGCCTTTCTTTGTTGGCAAGCTGGCTTGAAAACTAAAGAAGTCGGCAGAATGCTTGAGCACATCCAATACAAAACCCTGCTAATAACCATGCAAATTGTTTGAGCTCTTCTCTCAGCCGCCTCCCTCAGAGTTGTTTTGAGGATCTGCCCGCATCTTCCCCTTAGTGGGCTCAACTGTCTGGTTCAAATGCCACAGACTTTCGACTGTAGTCAGTTCTTCTTTGCCATGCAGCATCATAGGCCATGAACTGGGGCTTCTCACTTATTTCATGATGAGTCACCTCTAGAATAAGATCTCTGACTTTTTTTTTTGTCACGAGTTTCATTTAGCCAAAACTGTTAAGTACGTCAATCAGCTCGTTCGCGTCAAAGTTCCCCTTGACAAGCTCGGCAACAACGTCTTCTTGATCCATGGCAATATAATTCTGAAACGACCGGAGGAAAATATCCTCATGAATTGAGGTCTTTTCGAATACCACACATACAATGAATGCCGTGATGAGCACACAAGGGATATAGCCCAGATCCAAGTAATCCTTGGTTAAAAATCTTCCGCCAGCTGACCACTCATTGGATTGGAAGTCATGTCTCAGGGTTGGAACTCTTTTTCTTCCACCAAGGGTTAATGAACCATTAAATTCCTCCCAGAAGCTTTGACCCCACGTTCGTTTACCATCACAGTTTTCAGCACAGGGACCAAGGTTGGGTACGCTCAGTACTA